ATTTACATATTCTGCAAACCAATAGATGTGTCCATAAAACACAAAGCAAAGGTGTTAGGAACACTAATTTTTGTTAAAAAAAAAAATCAACTGATATATTTGCGAAGTTTTAGAATAGTATACAGGTTATATGAATAAATTTTATTTCAGAACTAGACCTCTAACTTGCCACCTGTGTCAAAGGGACACTAGCTCAAGATAAGAGAATTAGATTTACTGAACAACAACAAATTGCTTTGCCAACAAAGATTGGTACAGTCAAGCTATGGTTTTTCCAGTAGTCATGTATGGATGAGAGAGTGGGACCACAAAGAAGGCTGAGTGCTGAAGTGCTGCTTTTGAATTGCAGTGCTGGAGAAGACTCTTCAGAGTCCCTTGGAGAACAAGGAGATCAAACCAGTCAATACTAAAGGAAATCAGCTCTGAATATTCATTGGAAGGACTGATACGGAAGCTGAAGCTCCAATACTTGGGCCACCTGATGTGAAGAGCCACCTCATTGGAAAAGACCTTGATGCTGAGAAAGACTGAGGGCAGGAGAAGAAAGGGTGACAGAGAATGAGATGGTTGGATGACATCACCAACTTAATGGACATGAGTTTGACCAAACTCCAGTAAATAGTGAAGGACAGGGAGGCCTGGCATGCTGCAGTCCATAGGGTCACAAAGAGTTGGACATGACTTAGCAACTGAAAACAACAATGAATTGCTTAGTGGCTTGCAAAGCTGTCAAACAGCTTGGAATCGAGTTCTTTCTCAGCATCCAAAATGAAGACCAGAGACAAAGGAACTAGGAACTGAGATTGACTAACCCAAAGCAGCAGAGGCCATGGGTAAACAGGTAGCCTAACGTCAGAACAGCCAAGAGAGTAACTACAGAGATTTGACCTTAAAGTGAACGGCATGAAAAAACGCACTCAAAATCCAGCCAACTCCTCTGGAATGAAAGTCATTTCCAATTTCTCCATTTCCATGGATACTGCTTGCTCTGCACAGGGCCTTTGTCAACTATCATTGAGCAAAAATGTCAAGCCAACCAAAACAATTTCTTATTCAAATCTTGGACAGTTTAAACATGAATCAGGCTGGTAACTGTGATGTTCATGAAGCTTCTAGCCAAAAATTATGCAGCCTCCTTTTGCTTCATGACATTCCTAATGCCCTGAAGATATTAACTCTTTGTAAACAACACTATAAACAAAACTAAGTTTAGACTGTCTAAAATTACCTTTTTAAAGTTTATCTTAAAAGATAGCTAAAAGACATAAAAACCTTAAGTTGAATTAAAATGTATTATATGGATCATTTGTCTATGAAACAGAGCCAACTCTTGATTTTCCAAACCAAAGAATACAGAAGTACACAATGTACTTTTAAGTAATTAAATAAATTAGAATATCTATGAAGTAGTTTGGTTCTAGCTAAATACTGAGATTTAAAAAAAAACCTGTGTAAGCAAGTAAAGCCATAGGAAACAAATAGGTCAGGACTCTATTTAAGAAATCCAATCCAAAATATGGTATATCTGATTAAAGAGATGACCCTAAAACATAATGAAAAATTCACTTTTATAATCATAAGTTGATTGTTAAGAGAAAAAAAGAGAAAAGATTAAAAAATATTTACTATCTATAATAATTCAGGCAATTTTAACAGTTCTTTGGTTATTCCCTAGTAAATATCTTCAACCAGCTTGTACCCAAAGTTACCATAGTAGATTATGTGACTGATCCAACAATCATAATAATTTACTACTCATTTGGCACTTCATGTGAAAATAACATGAATGCTGTGGTTTCAAACCATATAAATATAAAACCATCCAAATGAATAGTTTCAAACATTAAAAAAAAAAAGTAAATAGTACCCACGAATTGTTTACACCAGGCATATTTGTAATTTATATTATTGTATGTCATGAACAGTTTACAGTAAACCAGTGTGCTCTCTTTGAGAAAAACTGGGAAGCCCCAGAGTAGACCACCTCTCTCCCACAGCAGTTAAATGGCTGAATCTCACCTATTTCAGTACTGATGGAGGAGAATTAGGACCAGAAAGAGAAGGTCAGAGCTCAAGTGCTGGCTGCCCCACAAATGCCTCTAACTCCACATGTATTTGTCTAACATCATGTCACTTTTAAAACATTTATTTTTTAACTGAAGGGTAATTTCTTTACAGAATTTCGTTGTTTTCTGTCAAACCTCAACATGAATCAGCCATAGGTATACAGATGTTCCCTCCCTTTTGAAACTCCCTCTTGAATCTCCCTCCCCATCACCCCCCTCTAGGTTGATACAAAGCCCCTGTTTGAGTTTCCTGAGCCACACAGCAATTCCCATTGGCTCTGTATTTTGCATATGGTGATATCAGTTTCCATGTTCCTCTCTCCACACAGCTCACCCTCTCCTCCCCTCTGCCCATGTCCATAAGTCTGTTCTCTGTCTGCGTCTCCACTGCTGCCCTGCAAATAAATTCATCAGCCATCTTTCTAGATTCCATATATATGCATTAGCATACAATATTTATCTTTCTCTTTCTGACTTACTTCACTCTGTATAATAAGCTCTCGGTTCATCCACCTCATTAAAACTGACTCAAATGTGTTCCTTTTCATGGCTGAGTAATGTTCCACTGTGTATACATCATGTCACTTGTTTCCAACATTTGCTACAGCTCTGTCCCCGTGTACTGACATAATTTAACTAAAAAGGTGGCATTGATATGAATCATATTAATTTTATTAATTATATTAATTTTATTAATATAAATATGCACAAGAGTATAAAATATCCCTAGTATTTGTTTACAGAAAAAAAAAACTCCAGGGTATCTGTCAAAGATTCATCAATACTATCTGTCAAAGACCCATCAATACTTTTTTTCTTAATAAAACAGTCATGATATTCATCTATGTATGTGACAACTGATTCCTGGGTATCTGCTGTTATCTGCAGGGTGGTCTCAATATTAAGTAAAAAGAGAAAACTATTGGTATGGAAGATTTAGTTCATAAACATGAAGCATTACTACTGTGGGAGGATGCATTTTCATTTTTCAGTAAATAAGAGACACTCACATTTAACAATACATTTTAAATTGCCAGAACGCGCACCTCTTCAAGTTAGGCATGATTCCATTACTCTACAGATGACCACAGAGTGGAGGCCTTTGGTTCCCAAACCACACATCAACAAATGGAACTACCATGGAAACTGTTTGAAACCTAACACTGAAGTGCTTCAGCTTTCCTACAATTACGTCAGAGCCCAAAGGAAATTTTAGACAGTTAAAGTGCAACTCCATAATATGTGTATTCTGCACACCATCAAATGTTAAGTGTAAAGCCAACAAAACTCCCATCTTAAATATTTTAACAAACTATTTCACTTCCATGGTTTCCAAGGATAATAACAAAGTTACTGTAAAATTCAACATTGTATCTTTCTTAATATTACTTGTAACTTTTATGATAACTAAAAACTGACTTGGCTATAAAACAGTCCTGGTTATATGGTAATAGAGATCACATACAAAATTCTATAATACAAGTCACCAATCTCCCAGGTTTTGCATATACAAAGGCTTTTACATTATTTTTGCATTATTTTTAATTACTGTAATTACATTAATATTCTTTGAAATTATTAATATCCACCTTTGGAAAAATGTGTTCATTTATGCTATTTTGGGTAAGGAGTCTACACAATTAAAGGAATTGATTAGAAAACTTCAGGAATCAGTGGATAAACTTACAAAAGAGATAAGAGAAACAGCCGAATGAGCTAGAATAAAAAGAATTATTCTCTGATGCTTGCAAAATTATCATTTACATCCACACTAGCATATCAAGATAGGAAAAATAATTCTTAGCCAAGTAAAGTTAATCCCATATAAAAGTATCCTTTATACGGCTAAGAATCTAAACCAAAGTTTCCACTAGAAGTAATATGAGAATTGGTTTATTGTAATTCTTAAGTGCAAAAAAGGAAGTAAGAATGGAAGTACTGTATAAATTTAATAAAATTACCAACTTCTCTTAATCCTCCCATTTTCTCTTGGAGAAGACTATGAAACGTTTTTCAATTTTGGTAAGTCGATCTGATTTTTTTTTTTTAAGTGAACTATACATGAAAGAGGGCATTGTTTGAGAAGTTTAAACACTTGTTTAAATAATTTCTGGACTCTTAACAAGCCAGTTAGATCGATGAGATCTGTAAAATTAGTTTCGGGGTGGAGCTGTCTTAAGTACCGATTTTTAATTCACTGTTGAAGATGGTAGGACACGGTCAACTGTTACAGAGTTCGACATTTAGACGACTTTCTCTTCCCTACACTTTTTATAAATGTATGCACAGCAAAGAAAGCAATATTATTAGGTAATCAAGTTCTGAAACAGTCCCAAGGCAGATTCAATTCAGAACTTGTTCCACGAGTTCGTTACTTAGGAAAAGCAGCTCTTTGGTTTCATCTTTTGACATGGGGCCCAGTGGAACCAGAGCCGACGATAACAGTTCCTCTGGGTGAGGCTGGGTTGAGCAACTGGAAAAAGCTCCACTACAACTCTACTAGAAAAAGCCAACGCCCACCCCTAGTATAAGTACAAGAAACTTACCGAAAATAAAATCAAGTCAAAAGAAAAAAGAAATGCGTTCGCTTCACATGACCAGTGAGCTGCATTTGCTTTGGTTGTAACTTCAGCAACTCTGGGCTTTCTGGAAGGCTCCCTTTCACACATTTACTCACGAAAAAAAAGCGCACAAAAATCTGGCCACGTCACCGTCGGCTGCGCCCGCGGGGCTGCCAGCGCCGGGTGAGAGCGGGTTCCGGTGGACTCTCCCCAGGCAGGGGAACAAAGGGGGAACTAAACAGGAATATGAGATTTCCCTCAGGCAGATTCCGTTTACTCCTAAACTTTTCTGACTTTCCAACAAATTCTGGAACTCCTGAGCAGTTTACAAAGTTGGTAAATCCGAGCGCTGCGCGGGGGCGCACGGCCTTACCTGTGCCATGGCGCCTACCCAGGTCAGGAGGTGAGCGACGCAGGACTGCAAGAGAAGAAAAAGACCGCGGTTTCAGCGGGCCAGACACCCCGACAAGGCGCCCAGACAGTCCCCCGGGGCCCCGCCGCAGACCCGCCCTCCCCGCAACCGGAGACCGCCGTCCGCCCAGCGGCCGCGCCCGCCCGGCGCCCCCGCTCCCTCTGCGGGCGCCGCGAGCACTCACTCACCCAGACCCGAACTGCGGGGAACGCGGCGGGGCGCGCAGAGCCGGCGAGGGTGAGCGGAGGACGCCGCGGCAGCTGCTTGCTGGCGGCTCCAGGCAACGGAAACACAGCGGCTCGGTCCGGCCCCGCCCAGCCCAGCCCTGCCGGGCGCGCCCCGCACCGCCCCTGAGCGCCCTCGACCGCCTCAGGCCTCCGTGCGCCTGCGTGGGCCGCGGCTGCTCCCAGTCCTCGCCACCTGGGTGGAGCCCGGCCGCCGCTGCTTTGGAACACCGAGGGGTCTCGGCTCCCCAGGGCACCGGGGAAAGTCTGGCCTTCGTGCAGCGAGGAGGCGTGGGGAACAGTGCAGGACTCTGAGTTTGGCGTGGGGGACCTTCCTCCGCTCTGTGGCCACAGGAAGGTGGGCCTCACCCAGTGCTCGGACGTCACGATGCATGCGCATCTTTTTGGAAGACCAGACAGGCACTGCTGTCTAGGACAGCGCGTCTTTGACCACGCTCTAAAATTCCCAAGTTTATTTTTGTTTAAAAAAAAAAGTGTCACTGCTTGCTTGTTAGATAGCCATGTCTTTTCTTTGGTGTCTTACTTGGGCTATTTCAAAACCTCCGCCTGGGGTCAATTTCTATATTCAGAACCAGCCTAGAACCTTCAAATAACTTAAATTTGGGCCATTTCCTATTAATAATTAAATATAAAATATATGAATATATGTAGGATGGCAGAGGCAGAGACAAAGACACAGACACGGAAGGATACTGTGGTAGGCTGATGTAGAGAAGGCAGATGGAAAGCCCGTGCCCGTCTCAGACTCACAGGCCTCGGGGAGGGGAGACGCTGGAGCGGGCTCCAGGAGGCAAGAGGACGGAGCTTGCAACTCTAGACACAGTAATGTATTCTAGGATCCAAAGAGCAAAGTCCTGTGGCGATACAAGATGGATAAGAAGCTAGTCTGCTTTGAGGAATAAAGAGGTTTTTCTCATAAATTATTAATAAACGTAGAACTAGTGTGGTTCTTTGTATGGATAAAACTTCTTTCATTCACATAAGAGCCACATGCTTAAATCAGGCCCTGACAAAGTCACAACAGAGTGATTGTTTGCTGGAAATGGAGGCAAAATTTCGAAGTATGTGGAGCTTGCCACACACGAAGACATACACTCTCCCTTCTCTTTCAGCTTGCCTTTCCTCTTCCCCGGAAGCCTCTTGTCAGGCAGCCCAGCATCTCTGCGGTGGCCTCATGCTCCCTGATTTGAGCCTCTCCCGGAGCGATGGAGACAGCCTCAGAGTGTGAGTAATGCTTTTCATTTTACTGAACTTCACCGAGAGGAGCATTATTTTCTCCTCACACATCCACTTACTTAAAGTCCTTTTCTTATGGTCTTTCTCACTTCCTACTCTCAGAACAATGGAATGACACCAGACCTCAGCGATTCTGTTTTAACAATGCTGTTGATTTTTTAGGAGAATGATGCCTGTTGTAGGTTATCAACTTGCTCTGTGTCCTGCAGCTAAATACTGATAGAGTCAATGAATTATTAGACAGCATTTTGATACACACACTCAATTCGTATTTCTCTCACTTTCGGTCACGTGGATCTATTCAACTCCTACTCTGGATCAGGCACAGCCCCCAGCACTGGGGGTAGGATGATGCAATAAATGAAACAAAGTGCCTGCCCTCACAGGTCACACACTCTGTGGAGGAGACAGACAATAAAATGATACTTATGTCCACTATGAAGTTTTCTATAAGAAGATAAAGTGGGGCTGGGGAATCAAGCTGAAGGGAGCATTGTTTTGCCAAAGGTGGTCTGAGGAGTTTCTCAGAGACTTGACAAGAAACCTGAATTGATATAATTTAATTATATTTGACAACAATTTACTGAGCACATGTGGAAAAGGTCTACACAAGAGTGTAGCCCTTAGTATTACAGACAGAGCATGAATACAGATAACTTCAATGGGGGAACAAACTAAATATTAAGAGATACATAAAACACAATCAAAATGCAATTGGTGTCAGAAGTTCAGTTCAGGCACTCAGTCCTGTCTGACTCTGTAACCCTATGGACTGCAGCATGCCAGTCCACCATGTCCATCACCAACTCCCGGAGTTTACTCAAACTCTTGTCCACTGACTCGGTGATGCCATCCAACCATGTCATCCTCTGTCGTCCCGTTCTCCTCCCCACTTCCATCTTTTCCAGCATCAGGATCATTTCACTGAGTCACTTCTTCACATCGGGTGGCCAAAGTACTGGAGTTTCAGCTTCAACATCAGTCCTTCCAATGAACACCCAGGAATGATCTCCTTTAGGATGGACTGGTTGGATCTCCTTGCAGTCCAAGGGACTCTGAAGAGTCTTCTCCAGCACCACAGTTCAAAAGCATCAATTCTTCCGCGCTCAGCTTTATAGTCCAACTCTCACATCCATACATGATCACTGGAAAAATCACAGGTTTGACTGTTGCTGCTGCTGCTAACTCAATTCAGTCGAGTCCAACTCTGTGCTACTCCAGATGGCAGCCCACCAGGTTCCCAAATCCCTAGGATTCTCCAAGCAAGAATACTGGAGTGGGTTGCCATATCCTTCTCCAATGCATGAAAGTGAAAAGTGAAAGTGAAGTCACTCAGTCATGTCCGACTCCTAGCGACCCCATGGACTGCAGCCCACCAGGCTCCTCCATCCATGGGATTTTCCAGGCAAGAGTACTGGAGTGGGGTGCCATTGCCTTCTCCGATAGGCTTGACTAGATGGACCTTTGTTGGCAAAGTAATGTCTCTGCTTTTTAATATGTTATCTAGGTTGGTCATAACTTTCCTTCCAAGGAGTAAGCTTCTTTTAATTTCATGGCTGCAATCACCATCTGCAGTGATTTTGGAGCCCTAAAAAATAAAGTCTGTCACTCTTTCCATTATTTCCCCATCTATTTGCCATGAAGTGATGGGACCAGATGCCATGATCTTAGTTTTCTGAATGTTGAGCTTTAAGCCACCTTCTTCACTCTCCTCTTTCACTTTCACCAAGAGGCTATTTAGTTCTTCACTTTCTGCCATAGAGTGGTGTCATCTGCATATCTGAGGTTATTGATATTTCTCCTGGCAATCTTGATTCCAGCTTGTGCTTCTTCCAGCCCAGCGTTTCTCATGATGTACTCTGCATGTAAGTTAAACAAACAGGGTGACAATATACAGCTTTGACGTACTCCTTTCCCTGTTTGGAACCAGTCTGTTGTTCCATGTCCAGTTCTAATTGTTGCTTCCTGACCTGCATACAGGTTTCTCAAGAGGCAGGTCAGATGGTCTGGTATTCCCATCTCTTTCAGAATTTTCCATAGTTTATTGTGGGCCACACAACCAAAGACTTTGGCATAGTCAATAAAGCAGACTGGAACTCTCTTGCTTTTTTGATGATCCAGAGGATGTCAGCAATTTGATCTCTGGTTCCTCTGCCTTTTCTAAAACCAGCTTGAACAGCTGGAACTTCACGGTTCATGTATGCTGAAGCCTGGCTTGGAGATTTTTGAGCATTATTTTACTAGCATGTGAGATGAGTGCAATTGTGCGGTAGTTTGAGCTTTCTTTGGCATTGCCTTTCTTTGGGATTGGAATGAAAACTGATCTTTTGCAGTCCTGTGGCCACTGCTGAGTTTTCCACATTTGCTGGCATATTGAGTGCAGCACTTTCACAGCATCATCTTGTAGGATTTGAAATAGCTCAACTGGAATTCTGTCACCTCCACTGGCTTTGTTCATAGTGATGCTTCCTAAAGCCCACTTAAGTTCACATTCCAGGATGTCTGGCTCTAGGAGAGTGATCATACCATCATGATTATCTGGGTCTTGAAGATCTTTTTTGTATATTCTTCTGTGTATTCTTGCCACCTCTTCTTAATATCTTCTGCTTCTGTTAGGTCAGAAGAGGGACAGCTAATATTTTGTCAAAGAATTTAAAAAATTAATTGATGTAACATCTGAATTGGGCTCTGTGGGAGGATATTTTGTCAGACAATGAAGAGGAGAAAGGGTTATCTGGTTAAGTGAATAGCAAAACCAAAATCAGCAAAGTTCCTTTGTGTATGTGTGAATTGAATTTGTAAAATGGCTGGAGTGAAAAGGGCATAAAAACTGTCACTTAAAGACTCTGTTTTGTGAAGAAGGGCATGACAACCCACTCCAGTATTCTTGCCTGGAGAATTCCTTGGACAGAGCAGACTGGCAGGCTACAGTCCACAGGGCCCAAAGGGTCGGACACAACTGAATGGACTGAGTACACATGTATGCAAAGACTCTGCTCTGAAGGACATGTTTAATGGATGCATTTTGAATAAGTGGTATTTTTTTAACTATTAGGTGTTATAATTGATGCACACTCAGGAAATCCATATTAACTCTTAAAAACAGTGTCTGTTATGTACCCCAAAAGTCCCTGATCAGTGACCAAAAGTCATCTTCAGCCTCTCCACTAGATTTTTTCAGTTAATTCTTTCATTCTCTTAATTATACCTTCTCTTTCTTGAATTTAAAATTAAAATTACTTATGTGTTGTCTTTATGTTGTGTTAGTTTTAAGTATTTTGTAATAATGTTGGTTTGTTTGCTGTATTTCTGGGGTACAAATAATAGACTTCAGCTATTTTCTGATAAGATAACCAGGTGGCAGCCATACCTAAAATTTTCTTTTCGTTGGGGAAATAGACCAAATGTCAGATAACTGATTTACAAACACAGTTTTGAACCTCGAGTTTATCTATAAATTCGAGATTTTCCTGATTTCCCTCTTTACCCCGATCAGTCAGGAACTAGCCAATTTATTCTAAATAGGTCACTAACTTCTTTGTGTTGCAATTTCTACATGTTTCAAAACTAATATTTTCACCATATATTCATTAACTTACTGTTTCCCTTAATTAACTGATCCATAACAGAAAAAAAAAAATGAGTAATAGGCTTTCTATAAGTAAGTTAAAGACAACTTAACCTGATTCTAGTAGAGTTAGTCCTGTTTTTCAGAGTATAAAATTTTCAACTAGTCTTTTTAAATTAATTTCATTTAATAATTTTATTTGTTATATACTAATTATGAATGAAGAAGAAGACTTGCAATATTAAAGTGAATTGCAAGAAGAATTAAAGAAGCTAATTAAGCTAAGAATTAAATAAGCTAATCTAATAGAGTTTTGCCAAGAGAACACACTAGTCATAGCAAAAACCCTCTTCCAACAACACAAGAGAAACCTCTACACATGGACATCACCAATGGTCAATACTGAAATCAGATTGGCTATATTCTTTGCAGCCAAAGATGGAAAAGCTCTATACAATCAGCAAAAACAAGACCAGGAGCTGACTGTGGCTCAGATCATGAACTCCTTATTGCCAAATTCAGACTTAACTTGAAAAGAGTGGGGAAAACCACTAGACCATTCAGGTATGACCTAAATCAAATTCCTTCTGATTATACAGTGGAAGTGAGAAATAGATTTAAGGAACTAGATCTGATAGACAGAGTGCCTGCTGAACTATGGATGAGGGTTCATGACATTGTACAGGAGACAGGGATTAAGACCATCCCCAAGAAAAAGAAATGCAAAAAAGCAAAATGGCTGTCTGAGGAGGCCTTACAAATAGCTGTGAAAAGAAAAGAAGTGAAAAGCAAAGGAGAAAAGGAAAGATGTATCCATTTGAATGCTGAGTTCCAAAGAATAGCAAGGAGAGATAAGAAAGCCTTCCTCAGTGATCAATGCAAAGAAATAGAGGAAAATAATAGAATGGGAAAGACTAGAGATCTCTTCAAGAAAATTAAAGATACCAAGGGAACATTTCATGCAAAGATGGCCTCAATAAAGGATAGAAATGGTATGGACCTAAAAGAAGCAGAAGCTATTAAGAAGAGGTGGCAAGAATACACAGAACCATACAAAAAAGATCTTCAAGACCCAGATAATCATGATGGTATGATCACTCTCCTAGAGCCAGACATCCTGGAATGTGAACTTAAGTGGGCTTTAGGAAGCATCACTATGAACAAAGCCAGTGGAGGTGACAGAATTCCAGTTGAGCTATTTCAAATCCTACAAGATGATGCTGTGAAAGTGCTGCACTCAATATGCCAGCAAATGTGGAAAACTCAGCAGTGGCCACAGGACTGCAAAAGATCAGTTTTCATTCCAATCCCAAAGAAAGGCAATGCCAAAGAAAGCTCAAACTACTGCACAATTGCACTCATCTCACATGCTAGTAAAATAATGCTCAAAAATCTCCAAGCCAGGCTTCAGCATACATGAACCGTGAAGTTCCAGCTGTTCAAGCTGGTTTTAGAAAAGGCAGAGGAACCAGAGATCAAATTGCTGACATCCTCTGGATCATCAAAAAAGCAAGAGAGTTCCAGTCTGCTTTATTGACTATGCCAAAGTCTTTGGTTGTGTGGCCCACAATAAACTATGGAAAATTCTGAAAGAGATGGGAATACCAGACCATCTGACCTGCCTCTTGAGAAACCTGTATGCAGGTCAGGAAGCAACAATTAGAACTGGACATGGAACAACAGACTGGTTCCAAACAGGGAAAGGAGTACGTCAAAGCTGTATATTGTCACCCTGTTTGTTTAACTTACATGCAGAGTACATCATGAGAAACGCTGGGCTGGAAGAAGCACAAGCTGGAATCAAGATTGCCAGGAGAAATATCAATAACCTCAGATATGCAGATGACACCACTCTATGGCAGAAAGTGAAGAACTAAATAGCCTCTTGGTGAAAGTGAAAGAGGAGAGTGAAGAAGGTGGCTTAAAGCTCAACATTCAGAAAACTAAGATCATGGCATCTGGTCCCATCACTTCATGGCAAATAGATGGGGAAATAATGGAAAGAGTGACAGACTTTATTTTTTAGGGCTCCAAAATCACTGCAGATGGTGATTGCAGCCATGAAATTAAAAGAAGCTTACTCCTTGGAAGGAAAGTTATGACCAACCTAGATAACATATTAAAAAGCAGAGACATTACTTTCCCAACAAAGGTCCGTCTAGTTAAGGCTATGGTTTTTGTGGTGATCGTGTATGGATGTGAGAGTTGGACCGTAAAGAAAGCTGATCACTGAAGAATTGATGCTTTTGAACTGTGGTGTTAGAGAAGACTCTTGAGAATCCCTTGGACTGCAAGGAGATCCAACCAGTCCATCTTAAAGAAAATCAGTCCTGCGTCTTCATTGGAAGGGCTGATGTTGAAGCTGAAACTCCAATACTTTGGCCACCTGATGCGAAGAGCTGACTCATTGGAAAAGACCTTGATGCTGGGAAAGATTGAGGGCCAGAGGAGAAGGGGACGACAGAGGATGAGATGGATGGATGCCATCACCATCTCAATGGACATAGGTTTGGGTGGACTCCGGGAGTTGGTGATGGACAGGGAGGCCTGGCGTGCTGCAGTCCATGGGGTCGCAAAGAGTCGGACACGACTGAGCAACTGAAGTGAACTGAACTGAACTGAATCTGTAAAAATGCCTAAGATGATAAGAGAATTTGTGTTCCTCCTTTGAGAAACCGGGTAATTCTTAGCCCCTAACCTGATTATTCAGGCCGCCCTTCACATTTATAACAAATGAATCTCTGATGGTCCCACCGCTCCACTGCAGCATGACCCATCCTATCAGCAGACAATCCCTCAGACCTGACAGGCCCCAACTCTCCAGGGCTAAGCTGGTGCTTCCTGGTTCCCTCCTATCTCTCCGCACTGGAGTCTCCCATCAGTGGCCTCCCATCAAGTATAGCTAAACGAGACTCCCACCCTCCACACTCCTCACAATATGCAGGCCCCTGCGGTCCCATCTGCTGGGGCCAAAGGCATCAGAAGCAGCATGTCAACCTGAATTCAAGCCCCTGCCTGACCTCATCTTGTCCATCCCTGAACCTTCTGGGTGGGAGGGGAGGGGAGGTCGCATTGTTCTGCAGATTCTGCCCTTTCCATTTTCACCATCACTTCTCTCTCCCAGAAGTGATACTGAACTTAGCCAGCATTCTAGTGGCTCCCCATCCTTGTCTTTTATATTTCAAGTGGTTGTAACATCCCCTGAGGAAACAGATCCAGAGAAACTCGTCCTGAGCCAACAGTGTGAAATTATTAGGAGACTACTTCATTTCCCCCTTACTGAGATCCACATGCTCACCAGAAACTAAAAGCAGAGACTCCTCGGGAGATTTTAGCTTTAGAAGTCCTTCCACTGCTTTTATTCAAAGCAATATTTTTGTTTATCCAGTAAAAGCTAAGTCAATTTCCCTAGCAGGAGACTGGAATATATAGGTCTTAGGTAAATAATTATGTAAAAATGGTTCTTAAAGGAATCTTTTAGGCAGAGTGTTTAAGCCTGGTTAAATCTTCAGAGAAATTAGTAAAAAGAATCACAGAAGTACTCAGCATATTTATAAATGGACAAGCATCCTGTTCCTCTTGCTTGTTGCTAAATCCCCAGCGCCTAGCACAGTGCCCTTTGTAGCACTTACTACCGACTGAGTAACAGTTAGGTGACTGTTTCAAATAGATGAGTGAATGGATGAATGAATCCACTTGTGGTGTTAGTTATTAACTGCAAACTGGTGATATTCAGAAAGGTGAGGAAGATATGGAAAAAAGTTAAAAGGTAACCTTGTAAGTGAGAATTTTGCCAGTGGAATAGCTGTATTGTCAGACTGGGATTCTGAATTCTGGAGAGGACGCATCTCTGGGTGGGTGAAGTTTTGTTTCATGATCTTATTCATGTGTGACTTCAGACAATGATTTGATTTTTCCTAATTTGGAGTGGTGGTCAGGATTAGATGAGCTCACTTGTTTAATGTTTAAAAATAACAGGAGGGCTGGTTTCAATTTCTCATTCCTCTTCCTCCTTCCAAACCTCTTACCCCTAAACCCCACCCTCATCTATTCCATGCTGATGATTCAGTCCCTACCAGTTTCCCTCAGAATCCCAAATTAAATTCCTATGAATCCACTGTTCCACTGAGGCAGGCTTTGCCCATCAACAGACAGCTTCTAGGCACTGGCCCCTATACCCAGCCCACCCCCACTTCTAGGGCCAGTGTTAAGTCCTCTCAGCACTGGTTTCTTTATCTGAACTTTATCTTCATTCATTCAATGACTTTATTGTGTGTTACATCCTGTCATTGGCACTAAGGATACAGTAATTTTTTAAAAAAGAATCTAATTATAGTGGTCAGTCTAACAGAATAAATGAGATGACACAGCATAATCTTGTTAACTTTAGGGTAGGAGGCAAGAGCAGGATGTAGGCTTAAACAAGGAAAGCTTTGCAAGGTGGGTATGTTTTGTATATTATCTAGGGTGAAACAGATCACCAGCCCAGGTTGGATGCATGAGACAAGTGCTCGGGCCTGGTGCACTGGGAAGACCCAGAGGGATGGGGTGGAGAGGGAGGTGGGAGGGGGGACCGGGATGGGAAATACATGTAAATCTATGGCTAATTCATTTCAATGTATGACAATAACCACTGCAATGTTGTAAAGTAATTAGCCTCCAACTAATAAAAATAAATGGAAAAAAAAAAAAAAGGTGGGTATGTTTGTGTGATTAGGGGCCTAGAGGGGGTCGTCCTTCCCAGAAGTCAGCCTAACAGAGATATCAAAGTACGTGACGGATGGAAGCCGCGTTCCTTTGTTCCCTTCATGCAGTCTGACTGGATGAGACAGGCATGAGGGCTCCCTGTGTCACACCCCGAGCACTGCTGTTCTCTCACGGCTTCTCCTCCAATACCTTACTTACTGTTTCTCACCCCCAGCGGCCCCCTCCTGTCCTCCCGTCTTCTTACCATTCCAATCATAAACCTGCCAGTACTCTCAGCCTTCCCCCACCTCCAGCCTCTCTTTCCACCCAGTCCACGTCCGTCCTTTCTCCTCCTGTTTCTTCTCCATCCTACCCATGGCCTGCGAAGTTCCCCACATCCTGTCACTTTCCTTCAGGTTGCCTACTCTCTTCACACGTCCCGCTGACCACTACCCCACCATCATATGCCCCTATCGATGCTGAAAGCTCAGCTTCTCTGTACACCAGTGCCAAATCAAATCTCAGAGACAGAGTTTAGGGTAAAGTTCAGCTCAGCTTAGTCACGTAGTCGTGTCTGACTCTTTGCGACCCCAAAGGAATGTAGCACGCCAGGCCCCCCTGTCCATCACCAGCTCCTGGAGCTTACTCCAACTCATGTCCATCGAGTTGGTGATGCCATCCAACCATCTCATCCTTTGTTGTCCCCTTCTCCTCCCACTTTTAATCTTTCCCAGCATCAGGATCTTTGCCAATGAGTCAGTTCTTTACATCAGGTGGTCAAAATACTGGAGTTTCAGCTTCAGCATCAGTCCTTCCAATGAACACCCAGGACTGATTTCCTTTACGATGGACTGGTTGGATTTCCTGGCAGTCCAAGGGACTCTCAAGAGTCTTCTCCAACACCACAGTTCAAAAGCATCAATTCTTCAATGCTCAGCTTTCTTTATAGTCCAACTCTCACATCCATACATGACCACTGGAAAAACCATAGCCTTGACTAGATGGACCTTTGGGTGAAGTAGAAAAGGATAGATCTATTGCCTCGCGAGGCAAAGAGGGACACAGCAGGTTCATGCCCTCAAACCCATATGTTTGGGGAAAATAGTGACAAGTTTTATAGTAATTGTTCAGAGAAGGCGTGATAAGCTCTTGGCGTTTTTTACTGTATTGCTATCTAGCTGTTCTCCGCCTTCACTGCCGCCTGTGGGCCTTCTCTGGTTGCGGTGAGCAGGGACTACCATCCAGTTGCAGAGGGTAGTCTTCCCATTACAGCTGCCCCTCCTGTTGCAGGGCACAGGCCCCAGGTACATGGGCTCAGTAGTTGCGGAGTACGGGCTTAGGCGCTCTGTGGCATGTGGGATCTTCCAGGGTCAGGGATGGAACCCATGTCCCCTGAGTTGGTAGGTGGATTCCCAACCACGAGACCCCCAGGGAAGCCCATACGAACATTCTTCAGAAGGAGGTAGTAAGTAGGAGTCCACATCGGCAGCCTTCAGGTCCAGCTAGTCTGGGGTTTCACATGCTTGTGGCAGCATAGCATCATTAATCATTAACTTCTCCTACCTGGAGGGGGTTTCAGTATCTGCAGAATAGCTCAGAGATACTGTGTGTGTCCACGGATGGGGAAACAGGACCTCACCCCCATTGCTCTTGACTGTTTCTCCTTGCCCTCCCCTTCTCTCCCTCCCCTACTGGACAACTGCTTGAATCTGCCCATTGGAACTCAGGGAAGGTCACGAAGACTGCATGAAGGCCATTTCCTATAATCAAAGAAATGGGAGACGTGAAGGCCTTGCGCCCAGGAGCCCCACAGGGTATCACTATATGCATGCTGCTGAGCACAGTTAGACACAACAAAATCACACAGTAGATCAGCCGAAAACCCAGCTTGGAGTCATCAGTCTCAACCGGGCCCTCAGCATTCCTTAGTGACCGTTTAACATGTCCCTGCTCAGGTCTCTTACCATCCTGCATCGTATTTGATCTTCACTGCTCTCCTTTAGATCCTCACCCGCACCCTTTCTCCCAGCAGATGATCTTCATTCCTGTCAGCAAGTCTACTTGCCCTGAATTCTCACCCTACACCTACAAACTCATCCTGGCCCATACCCATTCTTACCTCCTCATTCAGAGGGTGAGAGGACCGTCTTCCTTTTGTTCTAAGATTTAAGGTTCATTCTCCAGGATCATGATCTTATTCCCACTTATATTTAAATCTTTTCCTTTCACTAGCTTCTTCTCAGGCTAAATTAACAAAGCTATTTAAATCAGGACTCTCTTAGCTGCAATTGACAGAAACCCAGCTCAAACTAGTTTAGGTAAAAAGGCAGACAGCTAAGAATTTGTCATCAGTCATACTTCAAGGTTTGGGGAAGTGAGTGCTAGTTTCAAGTTTATGGAAGCAGGACCCTTCCTCCCTTCCCACATCAATTTCATAGAAGTTAAAACAGAAAAAAAAGAAAGATGAAGAAGAAAAGTCAATGAAGGGAAAGGATGACTGATCGCATATTCTTAGCGCTCTCTCTGTTTCACTTTCCTGTCTCAGAGACCAGCTTTTTTCTTGTGGCAAAATATCTCTACAAGAAATAATAGTTCAGCATGAAATAGAGCCCTAGCTCCAGGAGGAACACACAGATAATCTGCGACATATCCTCCAGATCTGCAGGAAATAAGCCCCACCCAAGAGGAGGAAGGACTGATGCTCCTGACCTTTGCTGACTTCAGTCTACTAAAACTTGGCCTCTGTTGACCTATGCCCCAATTCTATGCTGAATTCTCCTCTGCTCAAGCACCTTCATGACTATGTATGTAATCTTAGCTTAAAATTTCCCCTTGCTGTTCAAGGAAACACTTCTTCGCTGCTTTGGGAGAGATCCCGGTGTTCTCTTTACTTGCTCCATGTGTGTGTGTGTGTGTGTGTGTGTGTACACACGTGTGTGTGTGTGTGTGTGTGTACTCACGTGCATGTGTGTGTGTGAGCCTGCTCAGTCCCACAGTTATGTGCAACTCTGTGATCCCATGGATTGTAGCCCGCCAGGCTCCTCTGTCAGGAGTACTAGCCATAGCAAAGTATACTTCCACATCTTCATCT